GGGTTTAGAGGGTTTAGGGCAACGGTGTATTCGTGCTACGAAAATCAATAAGATGGTTTACTCAGGGGGATCACTCTTCGACTGTTTCTACGGTGTTGAAGTTTGGCCAGTTTACATGGTTTCGCGGGGCTCATGCAGATGAAACTCTTTCGGGCTGGACGCTGCAGTTGCTATCAGTTGCTCGGGGCAGGTAGTCAGTCGATTAGTTCTACAACTACAAATCTATAAACCTGGACCCTGAAGCCCTAAACCTACCCTAAACCCTAAACCCTAAAGCCCTAAACCCTAAACCCTAAACCCTAAACCCTAAACCCTAAACCCTCATCCCTGAACTCTTCAGTTCGGTCTTGGCCCGGGGGTCTCACCCAGCAAGACTCGAAACCTCAACCCAGATGCAGCACCAAGGCCTTCATCTTAAAAACCGCTTAAACGCTTAACCCAGACCCCTGGGAGGATCTAAAAAGTAGATCCCCTAATTTGGGGGGCTAGCTACTAAAGGGTACTTTATAGGAACCTCCTTAAGGGATCTACTTTCTAGATCCTCCCGGGGGTCTGGGAATCCATGAGCCCTAAAGAATCCCAAAGCCAAGGCCCGAAATCACCTCGCGAGCCTATATAAACCCTAAGCCTCGCAACTAGAAGCTCACATGCCCTAAACCCAAAACCCTGAACCTCAGGATTGCAAGCTCAGCTGGAAGAAAGTTCGTGCTTTGCACGGCAAGGGCACCCGGATGGCTACAGAAGAGGACCTGGATCAGCAGTGTCGATTTTGGTCTCGGTTTCCTTTGCGTAGTGTAGACGTTGGGCATTCTTGTTGCTCTCGGCGGTCCAAACTTAACAACTTGGAACCCATATCCCTGAATCTCCAAACCCTAAGACCTAGACTTGAACAAGCTTGCCTGTGCCAAGATCTCTAAACTATCCCTTTGCACACACACACACACACACGCACAGCGAGCTGCATGCACATGGAAGTACACATCTGTAAGAACGCATTTGCCACAATGCAAAAAATCCGTTGAAGAATCCCTAACTTGTTCAGGGTATTTGCTTATGAACGGTGCCGTCATGGTAATCTGAAAGGGACTCTTGGAAACTTCCCCACAGTGTTGTTCGAAGGAAGTGGCTGCAGTAACGGGCTGTTTGCCCGGCGCAGTTCCTCCGTTAGCTGCGTTCCCGGAGAAGGCTCTGTGAAGATTGCCAGGGTGGAATTCTATAAACCCTGATTAATTCCTTCCCTGAGCCCTTCACTCTATCCCAAATCCGAAAAACCTCCCCTGAACTCTAATCCCTATACCTAGGTGTATAATCTTTCTGAGCCTATATGGCAATTCGAATAGTGAGGCAAGAGCTCCAAAAGTATCACGAATAAAATCACAGCTCTGGGTAGCCCTAGGGCTCCAGTTACTTGAATAATGGGGTACTTCCCGTTTGATATGTAAACCCAATAACCCATTATTTAGGTAATTGGAGCCCTTGGGTAAGGGTTAGAAGTATAAGAAGAAGCTCCATGAACAGATGTGTGGCGGCTTTTGACTTTTCCGGTTTCGGATGTACTGCGGGCTAAGCCCAGAAGGTTCGGGCGTGAGCCTTGGGGTTTTGGGGAAGTCCACATTGCCAGGCCTTTTTGTAGCTTGTAAGGGCCGATGGGTGTAGGGTTTAGGGTTTAGGATGGATGAAGACTGTTATGGTAGGTGGCATTATCGTGAAGATGACAGTGGCGGCAGCGATGATGGTGATGGTTTTGATGCTGATGCAAGTGCTGATGACCCGCAATGCGGACAGGCTGGCACCAATTCCAGCACGCAAGACAGATTGAGAGTTGGCGTGGGACATGTTCGAATGCATGCGAGGCCAGAATGCATGAACTTATTCTTGGTATGAGTCGACTAAACGACCAAACTACTGTGACTTGCCCGATACACGTGATCTAGCTTGATGTCGGGCTTACAGATTCGTTTTCACCGGGATGCAAGAGCCGAGCACGGTCTTGCCAGCATACAGCTTCGGGATGCGGAAATTTGGATTGTGTTTATCTGCCGGAAGTTTGGGAGGAGCCTTTTAGCAGTCTCATCTCAACGCCTAGACATGCATCGAAGTCGCTTAAGCCTTTGCGCATATAGGTTTAGAGGGTCTTGACTCCGTTCCTTCTTCTACCAAGTAAGTATTGGGGATTGGCCTGCAGGTCATGACGGTGGTTGACAACACCCTGCCCGAGGCAGGGCGAGTAGTTTTGATGAATCGTCATCGAAGCGTGGATGCGAACCTTGTGTCCAATGCGCGATGTGAACGACCATCTAAAATATGATGTCAAGACCCGCTGGCACATGATGTTTTTGACAGTCATGATGTGACGGCGATGACAGTCATGAGAAGGCAGGTTATCTCGATGTCAAGATTGATGACGAAGATGCTGGCCATATTGTGTTCACGATTATAAGGCCATGGCCGTGATGATGCGGGTGATGATGGTGACGATAACGTCGACCTGGCCGCATGTGATGTGGCGTGATCTGACAGGGTTCGGCACGATCTGCGGAGCCACCCCGACCGTTGTTGTGTAAACCAAAACGCTAATGATCCGCGGCGAGATGGTGCCGATGTAGAAAACCTTGATGATGATGGCGACGATGTCTTTGCTGATGCTGATGGTGATGATGGTGGTATGCTCGTGATGTCACTGTGTGTAATCATGTGGGTCGTGATGCGGTGATCGTTGCTGTTGACCATTGCTGTTGACCATGAGGGTTAGGATGTTGATGTTGGTGATGCTTCTGAGGATAATAGTGATGATGATCGTAATCATCAAGATGACGATGAAGATGAAAAAAGTTATAGTTATATGATCATATTAGATGATGGTTCCGATGATGACGATGATGATGATGACGACGACGATGATGATGATGATGGCGGCGGTGCGCTTAATGACGGTGACAGTCCTGGTGAAGGTGAAGAGAAGGATCGTTAAGATGATCGATCTGCTAAAGAGTATGATGCTGCTGTAATCATCACCCTCCTCCACAGCATCACCATCATCGTCATCGTCATGACAATCATGACCGTGACGTTGATCCTGATGGCATGACCAAGCGAACCATGGTGGGGAGAAGCTGCGCTGGAGGAGGAGTTTCGTATGCTTTTTGTTTGTCTATGTCCATATTGTGGTGGATCCAGGATGTCGTATCTGGCAAGGGTGCACAGGTTCAGGATCAGCTCTAGGTTGGAAAAGGTTGTAATCTGCCTTTACACTTTGCTCATGCCCACCAAGCACCAACCCATTTCCGTAGCTTCGGAGTGCTGTGTGGAGTTCACTGTGGGCGACATGGGCTGGCACCACTGGCAGTAACTTACCACGTCTTCCAGGTTGTGCTAAGAAGATCAGAAGCTGTAGCCGGACTTCGCAGACCATCAACTTCAACTGCGGATTACGGACACGTTCCATGCAGATGACGCGCAAGACGTTCGAAGCTTGGCTGCTCAATGTTTCAGGGAGCTGTATGGCAGGTGCATTATGACTGTCGCTATGGTTCTTCTTGCTACAGACTAGTGGACTGTTGCTGTTGTTTACAGGCCCAACGATGCCGAACGATGCAACCACATGCACACCATCATTATCAGCACCGACGAGAAAGCACAGTCAAACTCTTTGCACCCAATATATTCGAGTTTCTTCATCAGGTGCTCCGGAGCCATCCGAGCCCCTACGGCCTAACCCGGAAGCCTAAACCCCAATGCAGACGTTACAGAACAGCCTGCGAGCCCTGCCCCAAACTCGAGGCCCAAGGCACCGGGGTTTGGGGTCTAGGGCACCTATATCCCGAACACATGAACCGTGCCTCACAACCGAAAGGCTTAAACCCCGAAGGTAGGGCCAACTCGAAAGCTTAACCCAAAAATCGTCCATCCCGGCCCGAAAATCCAAATCCTTCCCAAAGCCTGCAACGCTAAAGCCGACAAAACATCAAGAAGCTTCCCTCAACACCCAGCCCGAAACCCGAGCCCCAAGCCCCAGAAGCCTATATCCCTCTGCAAAGGAGTCCATCCAGGACCCGGTCTTCGCGGACATCATCGATTAGAGCCGGCCAGCAGGTTGCAAGGTCTCCAAAAAATCCTAACTAATTACCAATATTATTCCTTAGGGTTCCTTTTTTGTAAAACTATAAGCCCAAACCCCTATTCTAATTAACAAGGCCCCTACGTTAATCTCTTGAAAGCAACCAGAGTGCAGGGCCTCATAAAGGTTACCCAGAACCCCTGCAAGTGCGGAAGCTTGAGCTGAAGGTGTTTATGCTGAGATCTCTCGAGTTTGAGGAACGGTCAGCCCGATCTACCTCGTTGGTGAAGGCATTTTGCCAACTTCTACCCTCAGGCATGTTTGTAAGATCTTGATTCAAGACTGCCTGGTGCTTAGTAGGGACTGGGGGAATGGGTTATAGGGACTACTATAAGGGACCTTAAGGGACTATCATAGGGATCCATTCCCCCATTCCCTACTAAGCACCAGACAGAAGATTCAAGCGGTTTAGGGTTTAGGGTTTAGGGCTGTGCCAGCGCTTCGTTTCTATTTTGAGGTCGGCGCGAGCTGCCGGGCTCCAGCTGCTGCGCAGACAGGAAAAAAGCTTGCACGCTGCATGCAGCCTGGTCTGTTTACCCTAAACCCCAAAACCCTAAACCGCCTAAACCCTAATCCCCAAACCCCTAAACCCTAATCCCCAAACCCTACACCCTAAACCCTAAACCATAAGCCCTAAACCCCAAACCCAACCTAGGACGGACTGACGGTCAGTCAGGCTTTGGAGGAGCCACCCGGATAGTTCTCTGAATTGGTGTTTTTT